GCATCGTTTTCTCTCTCCGTCCACAGGCCTCATACTCTAAACAGCACCAGCGTCTCCAAGGCCTACCAGAGTACCTTCACTGGGGAACTCAACACTCCGTACAGCAAGCAGTTCGTCCACTCCAAGTCCTCCCAGTATCGGCGTCTGAAGACGGAGTGGAAGAACAACGTCTACCTGGCGCGGTCTCGCATTCAGGGCTTGGGGCTGTACGCCGCCAAGGACCTGGAGAAGCACACCATGGTCATCGAGTACATCGGCACGGTCATCCGCAACGAGGTGGCCAACCGCCGCGAGAAGATCTACGAGTCACAGGTAGCCCAGGGCTCCATGGAATGGAAGGTCGCGGAACGCCTTTTGTTTAGAAGTCGTACCAAGCAAATATCAATCATTTCCAATTTGTTATTGGTGCATCTAGAATGTATTTGTATTAAAGTCACTCCTTTTTGCCTTTAATTCTGTGATTTTACTTCTATAAAGAGCTTTATATTTGAGGGAGTCCAGTAGATTATTGTCCTGCTGGGTCGGTAAAGCTTCGTTTTGTTCGCAGAACCGAGGGATCTACATGTTCCGCATCAACAACGAGCAGGTGATCGACGCCACGCTGACCGGCGGTCCGGCGCGGTGAGTGTCGATCGAGTGAAACACTTTTTTGACGACTTCAAAACTTTTGTTACCATTTCCCGTCTTTTTTTTCCGGCCCCCCCCTAGCTACGTGAACCATTCCTGCGCCCCCAACTGCGTTGCCGAGGTCGTGACCTTCGACAAAGAAGACAAGATCATCATCATTTCCAGCCGCAGGATCCCCAAAGGAGAAGAGGTGAGCTGAGATGTTCCCGCTGCCCGTTGTGTGAGAAACGGCAGCGTTTTCACCTTCTCGTTTTCCTCGCTTTCAGCTGACGTACGACTACCAGTTCGACTTCGAAGACGATCAGCACAAGATCCCCTGCCACTGCGGGGCCTGGAATTGTCGGAAGTGGATGAACTAGCCAGGAGGAAGCGAAATCGGGAGCGTGGCCCCTCGCTGCTACCACAACACTCCTGCGCCAAAGCCTTTGAATCCTACATCGCCAGTGCATAAGCTGTTCTGAAAAGACACGGAGGAAGGCAGTCCTCCGCTAATAAAAGACTAAAGTGTTGACATCCTGTAGCCAAAGGTCTGAAGAGCATTAATCATTTTAAAAAGAAAAGAACAAAAAAAAAAAAAACAACAACCAACCAATCACTTTACAGAAAACAGTTTGCCGAGGGGAGGGGCGAGGGCTCTAACTCTGATGCTCGGATAGTGACCCCACTCCTCCACCCTCCACCCTAATCTACTGTCTACCTTCTATAAGCTCGCAGTGGCTGGAAAACAATCCTCAACTCCACCAAATGATTCTGACCCTCCGCTCTCTCAGCACCGGCAGACCGGAGCTCGTCGGAGCTTTTTTGACAAGAAGCCATGTTCAGATACCGAGAGTGAACTTAACGGAACGCATTTTTCACGTTTGCAGTCGGACCTATCTCCCGTCCCCCACCCCGCAGCCCCCCCCCCCCCCCCCCACCTCCCAGGAAAACGGCACTTTCCCCTTAAAAAGTCGTCGACAGCACGGACATCGGCTCGCTAGACAATCTTGACGTAAGAACTGTACACGGATCGACGGAACGGAAAGTTCAGATGCTGTTGGTCTGCGGCTCCAGGCGGCCCAAGGTCGGGGTTGGTTTGACACAGTCTACCTCACTGATTTAGCGGGAAATGACTGCTTTGTATACAAAAAAAATAAAATGCGAAAAAGAAACAAAAAAAAGAAGAAGAAAAATACTGTTAACGGCTACTGTGGATTCACTGTGGGGGGCGGGGGAGGGGCGTGTTTTTAACGGGCGTAGCCCTTCTCGGACAAGCAGGGAATCTAAAAGCAGCAGATTTGCTCTGTCTACTCTATGCTGATGTTGATTTACAATAATAAGGAGCCAACGTTGTTATTATTAAACATGGATTATTTATACAGAGGAATATATCAGTTTTGATAAGATATTTCGTTAGAAAAATCAAAATTGGAAGTGTAAAAGGGCGACATTAATGCCACCAGCCCATAGGGGGAATAATTTCCCGTTTTTTTTTTTTTTTTTTCCTTCTTTTTGCAAATGCATCTCAAAAGTCATATTAGCTTTGTGAAAGCACAATAAATCCACGTCCTCTTCACTCGCTAAAATGGTGTGAATGAACTTTGCGTAGCGGATCCGTATCAACCAAGTAAAAAAACCTCCACCTTTTAGCGGAGCCAGTGGATGCATGACTACTGTCCCCATTCAGTGCTTTTTTTTTTATTTTTTCTTTAATTTTTTTTTATTTTAAATTCCCTCAAGACGACACAATCGCTTCGCACACCTCAACCAACCACCAACCGACGAATCATGTCTCTTCCGCTCTGTGTTATTTAATGGACTGTTTTTTAAAACTTTACTGTAAGTAAGTCTTCCTCTGCCTGAGTCCAGCCTGCAGTGTTTCTATGCCTCCTCTCCTTTCCCCCCCCACTACACACACACACACACACACTTCTCCTCTCTCAATAGTGTGTATACTTTTAACTTCCTCCCAGTGCTGGTACTGTCTTATTAAGGCTGAACTGGTGGCAGGGAAAGACTTATTGGAATAAAAAGGGGCATTTGTTTTCATTTCTGTGTAAAATAAATGAATAAAAATAATTTAAAAAAAAAGAAAAGTCTTTAAAGGGAGCTTTACTAAAACTCCACCTTCCTATATGACTTTGATCCCTCTTTCCTCCCCCAACCTAAGACCTCATGATTTTAAAAATGCAAAAGTTGTACAAACTGTATATATCGTATATGCATTAGAGGGGGAGAGAGGGAGGAGAGCGGCTCTTTATCCCACGCCCTCCCCCCCTTTGTAATCAATAAAGGCAAAAGTGCTGAAAACAATAAAGCAAAACGATAAAAAAAAAAAATAATAATCAACCACTGGATATCATTTTAACGAAGCTGTACATAAATATAAATATATGTAAAATTTGCAAACTTAATATCTTTATGTATATGAACCAGAGTGTTTTTGGGTTTTTCTTTTTTTGCATTTACCTGTTTTTCTATTAGTGTTTTTTTTTTTTTTTTTTTGCTATAAACTCCCAGAGGAGAGTTTGTAGAGACGGAGGGAAAACGAAGCCGAGGCGGTTAGTGAGCTGTGCTAAAGAAAAATCTGTTTTGTTTTGTTTTTTTTGCATAAAGCAGTACAATGGTGCATAGCATTTGTATTTATGTATTGTTTTTTTTGTCTTTTTTTTTCTTTGGTTTGTGTTTATTTATGCTACTGCTTGTCGACTACCAAAACCTTTCCAGTAAACGGTCAGAATTGGATCTATATAGTCTTGAATGGAAAAACCTTGAACTCCCTAGAATCTTGTTTGTGGTTTGCTTTTTTGAATATCTTCCCTATAGAAGTGAATGTGTTGGTAAACTTTGTGAAATGGTTCCTTGGCCTCATGTATGTTTATGGTAATACTCAAAAAGTTAACCCCGTACTTAACCTGGTAATAAATTGCACTCTCATTGTATAACAGAGACTTTCTCTAAAGTGGTAGATATTGATCAAGTATCTCAAACAGTGATACATATATATATGGATATAAATATATATATATATAAATATATTTTTTGGTATGTTTCTATTTCAAGGGAAGACCATGCTGAGACGACACGTGCTCGCTGGATTTTAGCCGAATTAATTTTTAACTTCTCTGAATTAATTTAAGTTCTCTGCAGATCTTTTAATTTAATAAAGTTCGCTCAAATCTGAAGGTTTTTTTTAAACCTCGCCTTTTTAAAATAAGAGAGAAAAAAGAAAAAGATATTGCATCTGTACAGCAGAGATACTTTTAGGGAATACGAATAAATATAATGATCATTTTTATTGTATGTGGCATGTTTTGTATGGGTATTCTTTCCAAAATGTACATATTTTTTTCAGGACGCCAGAGGTTGCATCTCTTTATATACTGGTTTCCCCCCCCCTCCCCCCACTTCCCTCTTTTGCCCTTCATCTACTTTGTCTGCTTTTGTTTCTTGGAAAGGAAAATAAAATGCATTTTAAATATGTGTCTGTCTTTCTGTCAATTACTGAACTGATGTTGGAAAATGTATTTAGCGTTTATGTTATGCTGCAAAACAAAAGGTCTGACGGGAAAATATTCTGCATTTCTTTCCACATTTTATGTTAAAGGCATATTCCAAATTGTATTCAATTTCCCCAAGATTCTACACACAAATACACCTTTGTGTAAAAAACTATTTTTTTTAGATTAATTAATGTAAAAATGTATTAATAAAATTAATATAGATGTATACATTTTTTAAACATTAAACTTTTAAAATGCATTTAATTTACTGAAAATGTATAAAATATATTTAAAGTTTTAATTTAAGATTTAACAGATATATATTTAAGTGAATATATATGTAAATATTCACAGTTCATCTTAGTTCTCAGTCTTTTCCTCTGATCCTCGTCAAGATGTTTGGAGTCCAGCTGCGATAAATTCAGCTGAAATGGAAACGCAAGAGTTTCTTAAAGAGACAGTCCCCAATTTAAAAGGAATTAAATAACAGTCATATTTGATACAGACATTTCATTACAACTGAAGGTTACGTAGTGACTCGACTGTGCTCGGAAACGGCGCTATGCGGCTGGACAACATGACGCCGTCAGGAAAAAGCGACAAGAAAACAGGAACTAAAAACAGAACCTCCAAAACTTTGGTGAAGAAGCCAGTCAGTCGCACAATGTGAAGCTGCTTTCTGTTTCTCACGACCCGAGGAGACTGAGCATCGTCTGGTCCTGCTTCCAAACTGGAGCAATCTTTATCTTACAAGGACTGCCAGCACCCTGAAGCCCGAGTCGTCGTCTCGATCTTTTCCCCAATGCACAACTAATTGAAACAGATGCTACTTAAAAAAAAAAAAAAAAAACGACACAGGGGGCAGGGTAAAATAAAAATACTGAACGCGTGTAAGAAAAAGGAGGATTTTATTGTATATTGTCTATGTACATTTTGAACTAAATCAGAAAAGATCAGCACAACATCATCACTGAATTTTGAAGTTTTCACCAATGAACATGATGATCAAATACCCATGGCAACACACCAGACATGGACAGGAGTGTTTTGACAATTTTGGTTCAACTTGACATCATCATCATCATCATCATCATCCCACTTCCTATCTCTCTCTCTCTCTCTTTTTCCGCTACACTTCTACCCATGTTAAACAGTAGCAGCAACATTTCTGGGGTGCACAGCCAATGACCCAAGGGAGAAAAAAAATAATAAAATCAATAAATAAAGAAAATCAACCTGTAGGAGGAAGAGGGGGATAATCGACCTCAGTGCAGAGGGCCCAGTGTTTGAAACGGCATGCAAAACAGACGTGAGACAGGACACATGGTTCAGGTGATGGCTTCGACAGACATTAACTAACGGCCGTGTGGACATAACAGTGCAGAGCCCATAGGTGACGGATATCAGTGTAATACTTTCACAGTCTTGTCTGCAGAAGTAGAATGAAAAACATGCAGCTCCCCGCTTGCGGCACGTCAGCCCTCGAAGGTTCCCCCGCGTCCTCCCTGCTGTGTTTGACGTGATCCGCCGAGTTTGTCCGTTTTCCCGGTTTAAAAACACAAAAAAAAGAGCCAGTGGCAGTATTTAAGATAAACACCAAGTCCTTTAGTATTCCAGTGTCAAAATGAGCAGGAGATGGAGGCGTCGCCCCGGGTAGAAACGGGTATGCGCGAGGAGCAAAGGATCAGTAGTACCACCAGACTGCCGTGAAAGGAACAAGCGGGAAAAAAACCAAAAAAACAACAACAACCATAAACTCCAGCAATTTGCTAATATTTGCTAGCACAGTTGGACCTCCATGCAGACAGGTTGAAAACAAGAGATCTGTCAAAGTACCGTCCAATCAAAAAAAAAAAAAAAAAAATCAGCATCATTATGTCACACTGGAGCTGTGGCATATAGAGGAGAAAAGAAAAATGCACGTTTTATATACAAATAAATCACATGTACCCATAATCAGTAGTGTCTAATGTCAAAAGAAGAAGAGCCATTATGACCTCTTTACACGAAAACATAATTCAAAATGTTCATTGCCATTTCATCAGGCCTCTCAGAGCGCACGAAGCCACCGCCATGCAGGGTCAACGGCTACATTCACACTCACACTGAGCGTCACTCCAAATGATGAAATGACCCCTTCAACCTCGCCGTCTACACTCTGGTTTGTCGCGTCTCATCTCACAGTGTTCATCAACATGAATTTTAAAAAGAAGAAGAAGAAAAAAAAAAAAACAGCTATAAACAAATAAATAAAACGGTAAAACCATCCCACCAGACATAATCCCTGCCACTATTTTTTTTCCTCCCCCCTCCAAACTGAATTCAGGGCTGGACCGCATCCAATAAATGTGATTCCTGCAGGCGCCGGGAAGCGACGGCGGCGTGCAACCACGGGTTAAACCAGACATTTACGTGGACTGTAGGAAGACGTGCAACTGTTTTTGTCTTGGTTTTAAAATCGGGATTACCAAAAGCGGCGACCGCTAAACGCCAGAATAATCCCAGAGCTCCCAAACGTTCGGCGCGTCTCTCCTCAGGCTTCCCACAGCGGTCCGCTGGAAGTCCGGCTCTTTCCTCCTCTTGGAACCGACGAAGCCGCTGAAAGTTCGACACATTTTCAGCTCCGGACGCTTAAATCAGGGTTTGACGATGAACACTCCAAAACATTGCCTGCTGCCACTTTGTGGCTAATTTGGAGGTATGGTAGGATCACTGTCCATTTGGAAGACGGCATCTTTTTTTTTTCTTTTTTTTTTGTGAAGTGCACCAGTCCCTCCCGCAGGAGAGACTTAGTACCTGAGAGAAATGACAAACTGTAAGCCAGCTCATCTTGACACGACGGCTCCTCCCTCTCAGATCTGGGTAACCGAATTGTTTCCCATTGGAAAAAAGACGCTTCTTCACAAGGTACTTTACCTTTGTTCTGAGGTCAATTTGCACAGCCGGGGCCAAAACAGTCATCTCTGATGACGATGTAACTGGACATATTCGCATTGCGCTTCCCTGCCTGTGAACTGTTTAAACAGATGGAGATGCGGAGGTCCACAGTTTCTCTTCCTGGGATCTTTACTGATTTTGTTTGGATTTCCAAAGAAGCCACACGAGGAAGCATCGCGTTTAAAGTGTGGTCTTAAAGCACAGCCGCGTGTCGACGCCGTTCAAAGCCGCGGCGTCGTCTTCATCGTCCGGGTTTCTTAAATCTGAAGAAACTCGGAATATTCTAGGATTTTGCAAATGAAAATGAGTTTAGCGTGTCTGACAAAAAAAAAAAAAAAACTGTTGCGTTTTCCTACGGCGAATGCAAACATCTGGTTTCACCTGCGGTTTCTTTTTGCATCATTTTCCGGTGGGGTAGATTAGAAAACAATCTGGCTGTTCACGCTTCACTTCAAATGACAGATTTCTTTCTGAATGAATGAATTGTCCGATGAACTACGGCCCGCTTTGAAGAAGGCGCCGACTTGGAAACATGCTCGACGTCCAGCCACCTTTTTACACACAAACGCATAAATAGAAACAGTACTTCAGCCCCTGTCCTCTCCTTCACACTCTCACTCACTCACACACACACTCTCTCTCTCTCACACACACACGACGGCGGCGGCGGTGAGATATTGCCAAAAAACAGCCGGAGAGTTATTTCTGAAAAGTTAAAACCCACAAAAGCAGCTCCTCTGGCAAACTTTTAGATCCATCACTTGAACCTGACGGGTAAAAAGAAAACGAAAAAAAAAAAACATTACTGTACAGTAATTCCTGCCCTGGAAGATGAAAGGAGGTTGAGTGTATGCTATTAACAGTGGTAGTGTTGTAGTGTGGCCTGTGGGTTAGGAGGAGGAGGAGGAAGGAGGAAAGAGAGGGATGGGTGACTTTCAGTAGTTTTGGCTAAAAAGGTGAGGTAGGCCTTGTCACAACTTGGAGTGTGGCTTTAAAACTGGCAGGGTTGTTGGGTTTTTTTTTTTCTTTTTTGTTGTTGTCGTTTTTCTCCATTCGCAGTCTGTCTTTAGTGTTTGTTTCCTATGGGAGTGTGGTCGGGTTGTGCGTCTCTGGCGCGCCTCGCTTGGCCGCTCACATCTTCACGTCCTCCTCCACGCTGAGCTGAGACAGAGTCTTCTTGATGCGCAGAGCCGTCAGTCGCGCCGCGCCGTTGGCGTACCAGCACTCCCGCATGATCTTCCCCATCACACGCAGCGACTGCGAGGCGAAACACACACCGGTCAGTTTGAGCCTCCTTAATCCAAGTATTCGAATTCTTAAAACACTTAAAACGTACAAGTTACTTTTTGCGCCTAAATGTAGGGAATCCATGAGAGTAATTATTTTAGAGGATACACACTCCTTCAAACTTGACCTACTTTAAGATTATTAAAAAAATAATAAATCTGGCCTTTGTTGATTTGAACTCCTGCGATTGAACTTCTTGAGCTAAAACAAACCAGTCTGCAGCTACATGGTCTCACAAAATGTCCGAACGCAACTAAAAATGAATGTTGCAGTGATTTTATACATTAAACCAAAAATAAAATGGTGGTTAAGTGGAAGGAAAATAACTGAAATCTCAAAAGTGTGGGAGGCACCCTGGTTTTCCACCCCCTTGAGGTTAATATTTTATACCGTCGTCCTTCTTGCTGAAATTAAAACAGCAAATCTTCTGAGGTAGGTCTGGACTTTGACTGGGCCACTCCATCGCAATGCTTTACACCGGTGGTGTCCCAATCTTTTGGCAAAATAATTACGTTTAAAGAAGATGGTGGCCACAAAAATGAATAAAAACATGGCTTCCTTACTTTTTTTTTCTTTTTGAATATCACTAATAAACTAATCCTGCAGGATTTTATTTTAGCAAACATTTTCTTAGCTTGCGTTTTCTTCTGAGAACCTCTTGTAGCTTTTGGGTCAACAAACAAATCCTCGTAAAGACAAGCCTTTTCATACAAGTCTGCTGGTTCACCAAACTGTCATCCCATGTGGCCTGCGACTATTTTTAGGCAACCTCAAAGTGAAATACCTCGTAGCTCTGCCACCAGTTGGGAACGTTGGGCCTCAGCTTCTGGTCACAAACCACCTTCCTCATCTCCTCTATAGACGGATCAGAGGGCACCAGGTCATAGTAGGGCAGCTGGTACTCCTCATGTATGCCTGTGGGACAGAGTGAAGAGGTGGACAGTTTCTTATTGAATGCTCCTGTCCAGGTTCCTTGAACTGCGGCTGCAAGTCTTACCTCCGGTGTTGCAGCGGCGCGCGATCTCCCAGTACACCAGGCCCAAGGCGTAAATGTCAGCGCACTTAAAGGAATCAAAATGTTTCATGTTGATGGTTTCATCTAAGACTTCTGGAGCCATATACCTGGATGGGTTCAGAGAGAACAAAGGCGGTTTAAACTACAGAGAACCCTGACAAACATCAGTTCATATAAAGACTGAGAGAAGACCTTTGGGATCAACAATGAGCCGCTAAAAGTGGAAGCAGTTACCTCTTAGTGCCCACGCGCTGGTTCGGTGCTATATCGATTGTGTCTGTGATGGACTCGTGGCGGACGGCCAGGCCCAGGTCAGCTATAGCACAAGTGCCGTTCTTCTTAACCAGGATATTTTTAGACTTGAGGTCCCGGTGAGCAATGCCGGGCTTACCTGCGAGGAGAAGGAAGCGTCATGAAACGAGGCGAAGATGGAGGAGGGCGCGACGTTTGGACAAGCGAAGCGAGTTACAGACTGCGTTAAATCTCTCACCCTGAGTGCCGAGGATCTCCATGTGGAGGTGTGCCAGGCCGCTTGCAGCCGAGAGCGCCAGCTTGATCATGCCCTCGATGGTGACGGAGTAGCGGTTCAAGTAGTCAAACAGAGAGCCGTGCTCGTGGTAGTCCGACACCAGCCACAGCTGCGTCCATGTGCCGTTGTCTAAAGGAAACCGGGATAGGACAAAACCGATTAATGGGTCATTTCACTCAGCCTTATCTTCAACTTTTAACTTCTTTCCATTTGGTTGTGTCAACCCTTACATGGAGCTGAAATATGGGTTAGAAATCTGATTATTATAACCACCTTTATTGTCTGCTGCGATAAATCCCAGGATGTTTTCGTGCCGAAGCATGATTGTCTGGTAGATCTCGGCCTCTCTGAACCAGGAGCGCTCCTCTCTGGATGAGAAGATCTTGACGGCAACGTCTCCGCCTCGCCACTTTCCTCGCCACACCTCTCCGAAACGCCCCTTCCCTATTATCTCCTGCAGCACGATCGTCCTGGCCACCGTCCGCTGCACAAACAGCGGCAGCCCTACAAGGAGCAGGCCGTGTGAGACACGCACGGAAGGATCGACGCGACGTTCTACCGACGGGCAGCGCGTACTGACCAGAGCCGGATCCCGAGGTGGACATGTCATAGATGAGATCCTGCAGGGTTTTGTCCTTGGCCAGGTACAGGTGGTCGCAGGAGGGGTCCTCCACCTCCAGCCGCTGCCTGTGGCTGTAGGCTCTCTGGTGATACTGGAAGAGGAACACTCCCACCATCAGCAGCACACAGAGCAGGAACACTGGCCCTGCTATGACCGCAACCAGCTCCACTGGCCCCCAGGAGCTCCCTGAGGTCACCCACTCCTCAGGGGTCGTCGGGTCTTCACGCAAAAAACAAGAAGAGGAGGCAGAAACAAAAGCACTTGGATTAAGAACTTTCAGCTCGAAAGCTGTTAGAAGTGCAATGACGACAGTTTTTACCTGGGACTTTCAAGTCGATACTGTTGCAGTAATCTACAAAGCAGCAGTGGACGTTCAAGTGGCCTTCGGAGCTCTTGCAGTAGATGGGTGGGGTCATCTTCTCGGGGTCGATGCAGTAACGCAAGAGCACGTCTTTCCCATCGGACTTGTACGTTGAAACGAGGCAGGCTCCCTCTGTCTTGCACTCGCCCCCGTTACAGTTCGTGCAGTTGCAGTGTAAAGCTGCAGAAAGAGACACAGACGTGCATCACTACACACAGCCTCGCAAGGATCGCAACACACCGTGGACTTTCCCGCAAACTAAGCCCGGGGGGAATTCGACAGACAATTTTCAAACTTTTTACAGATAAAAAACTAAGACCTGTTGGTGCTCACTGGTATTCAGTCTTTCTGAGTCGAGACTCTGTAGGATTTTAAGCTGCAATTAAAATCACCAGGCTCTTGGTGAACGTCTCCGCCGGCTTTGGATCGTTCCCCTCGATTAAAGGAGATCCACAGATTCTTCTGCTTGAGCTGTGGTTTTCTACAGCTCCTCCAGAGCCACTGTGAGCCTTTAGGTTGATTCTCTGATTAACGCTCAAAACAGTTTTGAACAGTTTTATTTAGGAGGCTGAGAGTAGAGGGGATACGTTGTTTTAAAGACCCAACGCACATGAGAACAGTAATGGAGGAACTGAAATTAGTACAGTAGGATGGCTGCTACAAAATTGAAGCTTTTAATAGTTTTGTCTTCTTTATCGAAGGTCATAATCGAGACGGCACTAATAAGTTGGCTTGTTTATCTATTTTGTGGTGGTTTTGTCCCAGCAGCACAGGGAGGGAAACAACAACATAAATTAATGTAAGATCTCCAGTTTAAGTAACAATAATGATGAAGAATTGACCAATTGCAACATTCAAATAAACTATTTTTAAATACTACAATTTATTTGTTGGGTTTAGAGACCGAACGGCTAGTGACTCAGCTAACAGTGAGCAGAAGCTTAGAACAATCTAGAGACATTTAACAAGGCATTTGTGGTTAAAATGCTAATAATAAACAGGAAGTGAGTCAGAACAGAGACAAGCCAGCATAGAACCTGCATACGATTACCACAGCAATTAACCTGCAATAGTCTGCGCTACACGCACTATGTCACAACAGAAAACAAGTGGTAACAGCACCGGAGAAACAACCTGAGGAAATTCATCAAACCCGAACGTCAGCGTGAAGCAGCCACACCAACAACCATCCTGATACTTCAAGTCTATTTTATTTTCACCAACAGGTGGCACCCTTGAGCCAAATTTTAGCTTTAAAAAAAAAGGAATCTGACAACTAAGAGTAGTGTATTACCTCCAATCAAGTGCTAATAAGCTTCAGGATCATGGCAGGTGACCTATGCTCTACTCTGTCACAGAATGATACATTAAAACTTGACAAAGTGAAGAAAGGTAAGATGTGTAACACTTTTCCTGAGATACAGTACATATTTTATCCAGCAGGGGAAGACCTCACCCCAGAATCTGAACACAAATTACTGAGTGGGTCCCGTTCAATTGTGGGTAGTTTATGATGTGTAGATCATCATCATCATCACCATCGGCTGCAGGAGCAGCAGCAGCAGCAGCCAGACGGCCCCGGCGGCCCTGAAATCAGATCTCTCACTGCAGATGAACCCAAACACGCAGAGTGGAGACAGACCCGCCCAGAGGGACACACAAAGTGAAATCCAACAAGGGAAAAGGGCCTCTGCCAAATCCCCGATGCAGCAGAAGGCCTTTCTCATCGTGACACTTAAAAGTGGACTCTGTTCGGGCTAATAAGACAAGACTTCTGTTAAATGCAACACACTCCTGCAGAGAGACCTCATTATCAGGAACCCGATAGACGCGCTATTGCAGTAAAACCAAGGTGGTCCAATAAACATATACACACAAACAGTTAAATTAGTTCAATGCCAGGAAGTCTGCAAAAACAAAAAAAAACATGGCTTTCTGAGTTTCCCAACCAACCAACAGCAACGAACCTGATTAGATTTTCAGATAAATGTGATTTTGAGTCATGGCACACATGCTTCTCATTTAGCTAAGGTCAGCACAAAGGGCCTCTTCCAAGTTATTCTGCTCTCTCCATGCACAGAACAACCTGCTTGCTTGTATCAGACAAATGATAGCCCCAGAAATGATCCCCGGTAGAAATAAAGGCTCAAGTTTAATCCCTCCAGACTAAAAGAAAAAAAAAAAAAAACTATCCTAAAAACAACACAGGACAATCCACAAAGAGGAGAGACATTTCAATCCTTGTTCTCCAACAAAAACAGGACTCCGTATTGGTTGGATGGCTGACAGAGTCTGGCCCACAGGGGGGGGGGTGGGGGGGGGGAAATGGGTTTAAGGTGGCAAGACTCCAGTAATCCTGCATGTTTTCTACTGAGAGCTGCTTTGACTCCATGAGCTCATTGATGATCCCTTTGAAACCAACTTTAATGTCTGTATGCAGAAAAAAAAAAGTGTTGGTAGATCTTAATCACTCTTCTGTAACATCACCATCATTATTATGCAAGCATGGACTGGTCTTTGGTGTAAAAGTATACTCCAGTTTTTCTTTTAAACAATTTAAGGTTCAAAAGAAGTTTTGTGGAAAGTTCCCAGAAAGTTGAGCCTGGAAATTTGAGGAAATGTTCCAAATTAGAAACTTTTCATGCACATTATTCAGATTTAATGAAAATTGAGTAAACAAACTGCTCAAAATGCACAGCCAAATACAAATGTTTCATTGAAGAAAGCCTAGTATTTTTTGGTTAAACATGAATATTTTCCCAATGATATAAATGAAGCTTGTTTCCCTTTGTGTAGCCCATTTTCTCAGACGTGGCTTTAATAGCCCAGGTTGCTGGAAACCATCTCTGAGTTTGGAGGTGTGTTTTAAATGCCCTTCAACTGTTAATAAAATAATAAAATATCCCAAATCATGTTTAAAATGTCTGTTAAAGACAAAGCTTCATATTCTCACACTTTTCCAGCTTTAGAAACATCCTGGAATTTTGTAATCCCTAATCCTGCAGTTTAAACTTCTTTAAATGAGATCCTGAAGAGAGCCGAGAGTGACGCATCACTGCCCCTCCCCCACATGTTGCTCCAAACGCAGGTCACCTGTCTGACTGTTTTTTGTACTACCTGAACTACGTCCAAAGTTTCCCAGTCGCTCTTAAGATACCCTGTTTCATCTAAGCAGCTGACTGCAAGCTCCACCGGAGCACATAGCCTGACTAATTAATCAGACTGTTACAGCTTAATTTACACGTCTCGCTCTATAAGGGGAGATATATTCTCAACCAAAGAAGGCTTTAAACCAGGGGTGGGCAAGCCTGGTCCTCGAGGGCCGGTGTCCTGCAACTGTTAGAGGTCTCCCTGGTCCAGCATTGCTGAATCAAATAGCTGAATCACCTCCTAAATGCAGTCAAGTTCTCCAGAGTTCTGCTAATGACCTCCTTATTTGACTCAGGTGTGTTGAAGTAGAAACACATGAAAAAGTTGCAGGAGACCGGCCCTCGAGGCCTGGAGTTGCCCACCCCTGCTCTAAACTTTACAATTAAAATGTAACATGTATTACTTTTGCAGAAGAAGGAATAATTGTCTCTTTAGAAACGTCTTCAAGGGGAAAACTGAATTGGATCTTTTTTATTTTGTTGATGCAGTCTTTTGCTGATGTGTTCATGCTTGTTCAACGATAGTGACTGGAAATGTGGCACGTTGGAAGATTTCGTAATATTTCTCATCGCTCGACATTGGTGTGTCCGTGTGTGTGTGTGTGTGTGTGTGTGTGTGTGTGTGTGTGTGTGTGTGTGTGTGTGTGTGTGTGTGTGTGTGTGTGTGTGTGTGTGCGTTTATGAGAATGAATCCTGATAAGTGAGAGAGATGCAGAAACTCCAGCCCAAGTGTGACCAGACTGGCTGAAGTTTGCATGTAGATGGAATTTCCTGCAGAATAAAATGAGGGGGGGTGAAAGCAAAAAAAAAAAAGTTGCGTCACTGATTTCCAGCATTAATGGAGCAAAGCAGTTTAGCTAGATAAAACCTATGACAGCAATACCAGCAGCGGGTTTAATACAGAGGGTTTGGCAGCCTTTGTTCCTCTCTTGTTTACTGCTTTTCAATTTACTACTGCGTTCACACAAGATGCATTTGATCAATCAATCTCCCAGAGCAATATTTTAAAAAAAGAAACGTCGCTTTATGAGGAAATGCTTCTCTTCAAAAGACTCTGTAAAGCCAACTGCTGTCAGTTTCACTGCGATACATATGGCGCCCATGCAGGGCAATAAATCACCTCGGAGGAGCGCCACGATCTAAACCCGACCAGCCCGCGCGTCGAACATGGAGCGGCGTTGCGGCGAGACGGATGCTTCCCACATACAAAGACAGAAGCTCAGAAAGCAAACCGAACACGGCTCACACATCCACATTCACTTCCTGAACAGGCCATGGATGGTTTGTGGTCTACCAAAATTTTGGTTTGTGGAAAACATTTTTCACTTCCTCCTCTCTCCTTCCCTCTATGACCTACTGTGTGATTACAACATGTGGAGTCTGCTCCCAAACTAAAGCACACCAACAGCCCTGTCGTTTGCCTCTCTGTGGGAACCTAACTGAACTCCACTCCTTCAACTGGTAAATATGGTTTAGTTTCTGACAAATCTAGTCAAGTGGAAAGTTTAAATTTGGAGCGCTGAATTCCTGAAGCTCGTTTTCTACTGACCAAGACCGCAGACGCAAGGAGAAGTGGGATTTTATTCCTCCACTATCTGGTTAGTCTGAAACTAAAAATCTGATCTTTTTTACCGTTTTCAGACCAGGGTGACATAACACACTCTTCAGTGTGGAAGCTGTTGTCTTCTCCATCAGTGAGGTCTTGGGGGAAAAAAATGTGCAAGGAAGAACTAAAGATGCAACAATAAGGCTCTTATTGTTGCAAGTGTTAATTTTATTAGTGTGGCCTGTCCACTTTGACAACGGATGCAGTCTTGAATTGATAAAGTCAATCACCTGATTGCGACGCCTTGTGACAGCAATACAAGCAGCGAGTTGTAGTGACGGTTGCCTACGCTCTGCTGAACGTAGGCAACCATTTTCTCTGTGTGGTATGCTTGAAATGCATTGATTATTGCAATAGATGTCCCCACGGATGGGTATGGGTGTTGTAACATTTTGTTTTAGAAAATAAGCAAAGAAGCACAGACG